CCTTTAGAACTTTTTGGTTATACAAATATAACTATTTCTTAACCTCATAATAACGCTTTAAAAAATAGTTATATAAATATTAGTGTGAGATAATTCCGCATCAATAGCAATTTGCTTCTGATGAAAACTCTAAAATAACTGTAATATATTGTCGAAATACACTATTACAAATCAGAAAACTGTATAGCAATTATTTTAGTTAAGAATAGTATTATCACTTTAAAAATATTTATAAAAAAAATAAAGCAACTAAATTTGGTAGTACCTACGCCAGATTATTTTGTATTTTATGTTCGTTCAACTACTTCCCATACCAATTGTATGTGAGTGTATGGTCTGAAAATGTCAGATTTAAATAGTAAAGAAATATTAAAAATAAGTGGTACCTGCTTTTCAGAGAACAGTAAAAAATATTAGTAAAACATTTTGCTGGTTTGTCTAGACACTCAAAAAAAAATCTGATGTGTCCAACACATGACTTTCCTATCTAGTTATTATAGGCATTTTCCGGTTATTTTGTACAACCTATTGCAGCATCTCTATAAATGTTTAGAGGATAAACTAAATATATACATTTTACACATACATCTACCTCGAAACATTTTTCTATAGATAGGTATTCATTGAAAACGAAAATACAGAAAAATTTAAATTTAGCACTTTTCCATTACGGACCATTTTAGAAAAATCATGTATAAACAAAAATTATAGAAATCGATATCACAAAAAACTTTTAGTTCAACAATTTTCATAAAAATCAGAATTTTGCACATTTTGTCAAATTTCTCGAATACGGACCATTTCAGGAAATTTTGACATAAAACAAAAATTATAGATAATAATATTAGAAGTAACTTTTATTTGAACAATTTTCTTCTCCAAACATAAATAACATATATTCCATAAAATATAAAAACGGCCTCCCATAAAGTACCCCCCCAGATGTTCCAACTTTGTCCAAAATCTAATCATTTCACGTCAGGCCGAAATAAACCTTAAGTTTAAAATTTAATGTTTTTTCCTTTATGCGTTTTTGAGTTTTCTTCAAATTTCGAAATTTACACATTTTCTCAAATATCTCGAATACGGTCCATTTTAGAGAAATTATGTATAGGACAAAAATTATAGAGAATTATATTATAAACAACTTTTATTTGAACAATTTTTATAAAAAATTATGTTTTTTACATTTTGTCAAATTTCTCGAATACGGACCATTTTAGGAAAATTTTGCATAAAACAAAAATTATAGATAATTATATTAGAAGTAACTTTTATTTGAAGAATTTTCTTCTGCAAACGTAAATAACAGATATATTCCATAAAATATAAAAATGACCACCTATAAAGTACCCCCCCAGATGTTCCGACACTGCCCAAAATCTAATCAGCTCATTGGACGCTGAAACAAAGCTTAAGTTTAAAATTTGGTGTTTTTCTGTGTATCGGTTCATGAGTTATGCGTTATACAGACACACACACACACACACACACAGACACACAGACACACACACACACACACACACACACACACACACACACACACACACACACACACACACACACAGACATCATCGCGAAAATAGTCAAAACGGATTCAGGGGACCTCAAAACGTAAAAATCCGTCGAAAACTCGAGGTCGAAAAAAATCATGATTCCTATACTTTCCTTATATCTGTATACAGATAGGAAAGTAAAAACTATCATTCAGCCAGATAATAATTAGGTATGTTCTGAATAATCATGCGATGTCCATGTTAAACTTGCTTATTCTCGTAATATTAAAAATTATGCTTGCTCTATAAAGCTGTAGAAACAAATCGAATCATTTCAATTCTCAAATACTTAAATCGGAAATGATTTAGTAAGGTTATGTTATATTTTGTCATATAGTGCAGCAATATGAAACTATTATACAACAAACCATGATGAACTTGTTTTGTAGAAATGAGTAATACAACTTAATTATTGTATTACAGCTGTTTTTACTACATTACTATTTTATAATTATGATTCAGTCTTAAAATAACTTTCTAATACCTCTGAATAGCCGCCATATTTAACAAAAACCTAAGACAGTTTTAAAGCTAAATCTACCGTCGGTTTTACTAGTATTTAAGACAAAACCAATGTTAATTAAAGATTTTGATTATTAGTAATATTAGCATAATCTTATTACTAAAAAAAATCAAATTGCATAAATTTAATTTTTGTTTCACACTGAAAAAGTATTAGAAATATGAATCAAACTCGAGGCGCTTAAAAATTTAGTATTGTATGTGCTATATAATTAACAGTAATTTTTGCTGTGCATCCAAAAACGACTTTATTTTAGGTCATACATTATGTCTAAACCGCGTTATAGATATCTCTTAAGTAGATACTGCCATTTTACTAATATCGCCTTGAATTTACTTTTATGACAAATATAGAATTAATTTGTTTTCACCAGATACATTTAAAAAACTAAAATGTTACTGATTTTGATATGCAACCTAACCTTAAAATTGAAAATTTATAAAACAGTTATAAAAGTTTAAAAAAACATTTGTTTAAAGTATGTCGTCGGTGCAATGCCACACCCACGAATGTGCAAAATTTTCATTTTTCACCTAAGTACACCACTAATATTATATCAGTCATTGCTTTACTCTGCCAAGACCACGAATGTGATTAAAGGCTAAAAGATGGTGGGGAGGAGATGTGCACTTTCACGGAAGTCAGTCTGCATTGTTTACTTGCAACGCGTGCATCGCGAATGTACCAATTCGTGTTTGTGGCAGTGTAGTGATTGAGTTAATCTGCGACGTGCATATCGCGAAAGTGACACTTTCGTGTTTGTGGCGGTGTAGCTTTTGCATTTGTTTTACATTCGTTGTGTTTTTTCTACTAAATATTTCATAGTTTTGTGTGTAAAAATGAACGCACACACAGCTAAAATATTTGATAACTTTAGGCTGTCACGTCTGGATTCACCAAAACACCATAACCAGGAGGTAGGTAGATGTTAATATGCTATTATAGAAATAACATTTTAGAGATTGGCTGATAGGAATAAGCATTTCGATGGCTAGAGTGCAGTATATCGTATAATTTAAAAACAATGCATATAACAAAAAAACTACATTTTTTTGAGGGCAGTCGCACAAAAAAATAGTTTTTTAAAATTCCGGTCGCAAAAGAAATGTAATGCGTAAAAAAGCGTTTTTTGCATTTTCTGCTAAATTTTCCAAAAATATATACGAGGTACTGCACTTTAGCCGTCGATATGGCAACTTGTTTAACTATAAACTAATTCATGATCAATATTTTTGTCAGTATTTAAAAGGCTACATTGGTTTTACTAATGTAGGTTTTTTTCTATTAGATCCCAAAGAAAATTATTGACGAATGCGACACCAAACAAAAAAATGGACCCGGAACATCAAACGTTTCTGCTTCTATACTAAATAATAAAGGAATACTGTGTCCAACGGTTTCAGAGAACCAACTAGAAGGTACTGCTTTGTCATAAAATTTTACATTACTGATAGATACAACATAGAATTTGTTTTAGCACAATCTTTAGCAAAGATTTCGGGCATCTCCAGTAAGGGACCGACGTTCGATAACGAACTAGCGACAAAGAGTAATTTTTCTGACTCAGATAACTATAATCCAGAAGAGGACTCAGCTAGTAGCAGTTCTTCCTGCTCTACTTGTTCGAGCTCTAGCGATACAACATCAGAATCAGAGGATCAAAATGAATTGAAAGAAAATAAATTAGGTAAGTTATTTAGAAAGGTATGACGCAAACATACAATTATTCTAAAGCTATTTTTCTTTCTTTTAAGGCGAGGGCCCTAAGAGGAAGAAGAAAAACATAAACGCTTGGAAGAAAAACATAAGGAAACAAAAAAGATTAAAAGGGGAGTCTTATGTTTGTTCTAGAAATAAAGAGAGACCAGCACGTCCCATGTTACCATCCCCGTGTTCTGATAAAGCAAACCACAAATGTGACACTTTTGTCAACGAGGAAAACCGACGCAAAATTTACAGTGAATTTCATGAAAATATGATTTCGGTAGATGATCAGCGAATTTTCTTAAATAGTCATATTAATAAACAAAAGAAAAAGAGAGTGACTAGAAACATTGAAAATTCACGAAGAACGTTCACCATGAGTTACTCGTTTACCGTGAATGGAGAAAAAAGACAAGTATGCCGAGCCTTTTTTATGGCTACACTCAATGTGACAGATGCATTTATGCGCGGAGCTGTGGAAAAACTTTCTTCTAGTGGCATAGTTGAAAAAGAAAAACGTGGAAAACATGTCCCACACAACAAATTGAAAGATAATGATGAACTGCTGATTCGTGAGCACATTCTTTCATTTCCAGCCGTGGAGTCCCATTATTGTAGGGCCTCTAGCACAAAAAAGTACTTGGATTCTTCACTAAACGTCTCTATTATGCACAAATTGTACAAATCAAAGTGCTCAGAATTAAATGTCCGTCCAGTTTCTTTCGAGAAGTATCGACGAATGTTTAGAAGTTATAATTTGGGGTTCCATGAACCCAAAAAGGACCAGTGCAAAAAGTGCTTAAAATATACGAATATGACAGAAGAGGAAAAAAACACACACGAACAGGCTCATCACGAACATATGCTAAGGAAACAATTAGCTCGTGAGGCTCGAGACGAAGACAAAGAAAATGCAAAGAATAATTCAGAGGTACTGTCATTTAACTTTGACCTCGAAGCAGTGCTTACGACTCCAAAGGGTCCAACAGGATAAATATTTTACCTTCGAAAATTGGCTATTTATAACCTGACTATCTACAACTTAGGAAATCAGGATGGAATCTGTTGCCTTTGGGATGAAACCCAAGGAAAAAGGGGGTCAAACGAAATATCCTCGTGTATTTATAATTACATTATCAATCAACCAAATATTACTGAGGTTCGAATGATGTCGGATGGGTGTGGCGGGCAACAAAAAAAATTCGCATTTTGCTACTATGTGCTTGAAACTTCTTACGGATCACACTAATTTAAAAATTATTCATCACAAGTTTTTCGAATCGGGACATACCGAGATGGAGTGTGATTCACTCCACTCGAAAATCGAACAGAAATCAAAATATGTTCCGGTTTATTCACCCGAAGGTTGGGCTCAGATAATAAGAAGTGCTCGAACACACCCACGTCCTTTTGAAGTCAGATTCATAATGTTTGATGATATCTTTGATTTTAAGTCCTTTGGAACACAAAACTATAAATTGAGCCAGATTCCTTGGCAACAAGTTTGCTGGTTACGATACATTAAAACCGACACTGTGGTGATAATGTCATATAAAAAAAATTTTGGAGATGAATTTCAACAAGTTGACAGCATAAAAAGTCGTGGAAGACCCAAAAACGTTGACTTGAAAAAAGCCTATGATAAGCAGTTACCAATTGCGATTGCTAAATATAAAGATCTGCAAAAAATGTGTAAAGATTTAATAATTCCAAAGAACTATCATAACTTTTATAATTCTATAAATGCTGATAAAAATATAAGAGACAATTTGCCGGAGCCAAATGAAAGCGAAATTTCTGACGAAAACTAAATTATTCTAAAATATGATTTAAGTGTTTTACTATAATATTATTTCTATTTTTGTAGTTTTTAATATTAGAAAGTTCTTTTTGTTCCACTTTTACCAAAATAAAAGTTGTATAATTTCACGTATATGCATTTTAATAAAAAAATTACAATGCCACAATCACGAATGTTACTTTTTTCGAAAATTAATGGATATTTTCGTAAATCATTGATAACATTTCTAAAATATAACTCTAACAACTTTTAATAAAAGTACAAAAAAAATGTCGCATTTAATCCTGATTTTTAGCAACTCATTGAAAGTTTAAAAGTCGAATATATCTGCTAACGCTCATTTTGCACATTCGTGGGTGTGGCATTGCACCGACGATGTGTAAATGTGTAGTAACTGTTCGGTAACTGCATTCAACAAATCTTAAAGAATTTACAAAAGAACCAAATAGTTCTGTAATACTGCGCCCATTTTGTGTTTATTACTGTTGAAAGAATGTTCCGGAAATGTTCTTAGCTAATATTCTATTTTATAAATTTGGTTCTGTAAACATTTTTTCAGCTTTTATTAAATATCAAATTGTTACTTGGGTAAAATATCTTGGTTTTTAGCTAGACAAGGAATTAACATAAAAGACAGAATTACCAAAAATTCGGGTATTGTGAGGTCCTTTTTTGAAGCTGGCTGTCTCTGTCGAATAAACTTATTATTTAAAACAATATTCAGGCCAATTCTGACATATGGTTGTCCAGTATATTGTTCTACGGGTAATTCCTACCTTTTAAGCCTTCAAAGGGCACAAAACAGATGTCTGAGACTAGCTCTTGGATATGACCGCTATGCTAGAATACAAGACATTCACGAGACGACAAATATGCAAATGATAAAAGATTTCATCATTAAGATTGCTGAAAAGTTCTACGTGGAATGCCTTCCTAAACAATTGACCCATGCCAATTCCAACAATACTAAACAATAATTTACACGGACTGGATATTTACGGGATATAGTCCTACAGAGGACTGAGCTATGAACTGACCGACATGCGGCAGGGCCTTGGTTGAGAGTGATTTTCGGTCTTGACTGCAGCACTTCCGGATGGTTTATACCGCACCCTCTCAGTGAATTATGACAAAAAACCGTAGACAAGTACAAGACCACATACCACAAACGACAAGTCTGTTTTTTCCTAGCTTTTTCAGGGGACAATACGAAATTAAGACACGACAAATCCACTTATACGCTCAATTCCCGATTCAAATCCTCCCAAATCCCTCAAATAATACCCTAAGGGCAAGGAGTGAGGGCGGCTATGTTAAACAAAATCAGAATATTTAAAATATACGACATATTACAGGCGAAGATACCGTCTTAGGCCTCAGCGGTTTACCACTAGGGCCACATATGTCTACTGCAGTTTGTATTTTATGTTGATGTATTGTTATAAAAATTTATTTAACAGGTGAATAAAGATTTTAAATAATAAGGATTTTAAAAGCTCACAAATTTCATCCGTACAAGAGCTGAACGACAATGATCCTGAGAGAAGGCTGCAGTTTTGTGAAAAAATGAGCGTGTTTAACTGCAGTTCCTGACTTATTATTTAATATTTGTGTTTCCGATGAGTGTACATTAATTTCCGTTACTGGGATGACTTTAACCCACATTTATTCCGTGAGTATCACACCCAACACCCTGAAAAAATAAACGTCTGGTATTAGATAACCATATTGTAGGACCACTTTTCATTCCTGGAAATTTAACTGGAGAAGTGTACCTAAACATGCTTGAAGATGAAATTGACCCTCTTATAACAGAAATTAGAAAATGACCCAAATAATGATGTTTATCAGTTTCATTTCCAGCAAGATGGAGCACTTCCGCACTATGTTGGTAATGTTAGACAATTGTTAAATAACCAGTACCCTGGGCAGTGGACTGAAAGGAGAGGCCCAATTGAATGGCCTGCAAGGTCACCGGATTTATCGCCTCTCGACTATTTTCTTTGGAGACACTTGAAAAATAAATGTTTTGCTACAAAGCCTAATTCCATAGAAGATCTTTGCCAACGGATAATAGCTGAGTGCAGGAAAATAACTGAAATTCTACAACATGTTCGCAATATATTAGAACAAACATTATATTATTATTTTCAACATCTCTTAAATTAACGTTTTAATAAATCTTTAAAAAATCAATTTTACAGTTTAATACTTTTTTTAGAAACTTAAAAAACTAACAAAATTGAAATGTAATTTCCTATTGAAATGTAATTTCCCATAAAATTACCTTCTCAAAAATGTGGCACTCTTGGTACTTTCCTTATGTAAATTTTAGAGGTTGGTCACCCTATACTCGAGGATCGAAGCGTTGATGCAACAAATATGTCCTGCTCCAAACAAAAATCGACGTGTCCAAGCATTTCTGCTTTTAGGTGCATAATTTTCACCCTCAAAATGGCGCTAATATCGGAATTTGATGCAACAATATTGGCATTACTGAATTTATTATAAAATTACCTTTGCAAAAATGTACTTTCCCTATCTAAATTCTAGGGGTTATTCACCCCACTGCTCGAGGGTTAAAGTGTCAATGATGTAAAAAATCGACGTATCCGAGTATTTCTACTTTAAATCTGAGAGAACCAAGAAAAAGGGAGTGGATACTTTTTATTGGACCACACTATAGAAGGTATTAAAATGACAATGAGATATTTAGAATATGTGAGTCAAAATACACATTACACAACTGTTAAATATTAGATTTAAATGTTCCTGGTTTATTTTTCTATGTCAATACTCTTTTCTGTAAAAAATAACTCTGTTTACTCCTAACACGGCGTTTTTTCATCCAATTTACGATACAGTATTAGAGAGGCTCGTGAGAAAATATTGAAGGACTGAAATAACACGGGAGATCACTTGAGATCAAAAAGTCTTACAATCTTCTATAGATGAAAATCGATTCTGCGAATTTCTACTGAAGTCACAGTTTTAAAATAAAAACCGGGTCTTTAGGTTTTCTGAAAATATGCTGCAAACTATTATTGTCGAGTAAGGGAATTTGATTTATAATGGAGAAGCAGTAATAAAAAAAAGCGTAGGGTTTTATAAAATGAAAGCGTAGCAAAATAGAAAATAATCGTCAAACAACATTTTAATTATAAAAACCAGATTGTTCTGCAAATGTATTTTTAAGTACTGTTAGACATTAAGATTAAATGTTATGGTAGATACGGTACAAGAAACTATGGAATAAGCCCAAGAAGATTTTTAAGTCAATGTATACGTAAACTATTTCTTGGGGTTGAGTTATTAAATAAAGGAAATAAAACACCGATATCCAATTATAAGTAAGACCGCAGACCAAAAGCGAATGATTATATAAAAACATAAACTGTCTCCACAAAGTCGAGTATACGTGTCCCTTTTATAAGTGTTACACACTTAAGATAATATCCTAAAATAATAAAGTCGTCTTTTCTTAGACTAAGCATTATTCCTCATTGCCATGACAACAGCTCTCTATTTTACCGTCAGCAGCGTATATAGCCGTTCACATTCTAACTGAACTAAACAAACAAAAACATTAGTAAACGAATACTGACTTTGCTAGAGACTTGTTTCGATGGCAATGCTTGCATAGAAACAATCTCGACAGCACAATCAGGGCACTCAGAGCTATAATCGACGGTATAATTGTATGGTATGATGATGGTACACAGAGCTATACTCGATGTGGTACAATCATAATTAGGGCTTGGAAAATATGCACTTAAAAATGGTCTAAATATGTATGCATTTATGCGTTAACAATAAACAAAATATGATTTTTAATATGCAAAATAAAAAGACAGTCATTTTTGATATTTAAATTTTATTATAGACTTTTTTAACATATGATTAGATGATTTTACATTCCTATCAATTACATCTAATTAATTATTATTATTATTATTATTAGAATAAAAACAGTAAGTTATTAAATATTTTTCAATGTTTTCAACAGTGAAACATTGCCTTCTATCACTTAAAATATGTTTGTACGCCGAAAATGAACGTTCCACTTCACAAGAACTTATTGGTTCCGGTCAAGGTTACAAAAGATGTAATTGCACTAAAATGTGCAGATCAAAGAGGTGCAAATGTTTACAAAACAATTATGTATGTAATTCAGCTTGCCATGCTGGAAGAAGCTGTGATAATTTATAAATATTAATGATAAAAGTAGGTATACCTAGTAATTATTACCTACCTATAGAGTTTTAGTTTAAGTTTTATTTTCTAGAGGATATACATGTTTTTTTTTAATGTGACTTAAATTTATTTATAATAAAATGTAAAAACAATACTTATTTTTTACTTTTGTAATAAAATATCTTGCTATGCGAGAGGAAGCTGTAAAATTTTAATATTAAAAATAATAATGCCTAGAGTTTTATTTTCTAAAGAAAGTACATATTTTTTTGTAAATTTATTTATAAAAGAATGTGATGAAATGTAGAAAGAATTAAAAGTTTTTACTTTTGTAATAAAATGTATGACAGCTCATGTGAATTTAAATTATTAAGTATCTGTGTGCCTATTTCTTGAAATAGGCAAACTTACGTAAAATAATTGAAATCGGCAAGTCTGTCGCCGATTTCACGAATAAGGCAAAATTTTGCCTATTACATGAAATCGGCAATTACGGAAATTCGGCGTAACACATATTTAACTTTTGAAATTAAAAGTAGTGAAATATTTGAATCCAATTCATTATTACGGTTGCCAGATAAAACATTATTTATGCCCTCTAATGTCTGAAATCCTTTATTATTTAGTGAAACTGATGTAAATTTTCGTGTAACATTATTTTCCATTAACACAGACTGTTCAATAAAAGATTTTAAATTTTTAACTGTTTGTATACTTTTAAATAATGTCATACCTCGAAATTCAAGCTTAGTTATGTATGTGGCTACGCATGTATAATTTGCTTGAATGTGGACAATATGGCTATAAATTATAGGA